GCATTCCTAGGCAACACAACTTGGGAATGGCATGGAAAAACCTGCTCCCCCTGCAGAACAGTAGAAAGGATTTGCCCACACTTCCGGCTGGAAGCTTTCACAGCAAGAAAGATAGCTGTAACTCAGAGAATGGAAGGCGCTGCAAGAACACCAGCCTAGTCTGAAAGAGGACTCCACTATTTGTAATTCAGCTGCTCTCCTCTATCTACCACATGCTCATAGGTTGGTGTAATCAGTCGTGTTAAAATGCAGACTTGCTCACTCGCCAAAGCTAGCGTATGCAGATCCAGTTCCAGTTGCAGATCACACATGTATCTAAGATGATGCAATCATTCCCTCCGAGTTCAAACCATGATTCAGTGAAGGTAGCTCTTGACTACTTGCAGTTCCCAACCCATCTCCATCTTAGTTTTCCAATGAGTGCCTAGCGCTATGGAGGATGTGAGAGGTGGTGCCCTCCAGGCTCGGGTCGGCCTACAGCTAAGGCCAACCTTCCCCACAGATGCAGAGAGGAACCATCCCTGGCTAGGATAGCAGCTCCCAGGGACAACCAGAGGTGCCCCAGGAGCCGCCTCACAGGGCCTGGGGGAGAAGAGGTGCTTCGCTGATGTTGCTGACGGCGCAGAGGAGGTTTAGGCCTCTCGCTGATGCTCTGTTGTAGCAACAGAACTTCTTGCAGATCAGAAGCATTGGGGTTCAGTGCTGGGACTAAACCTTCTGGTTTAGTGAAGCAAAAAGCAGGAATCTAATGAACTGGAGGAACCAGGAATGAGCTAGAAATGTTTCAGCTGAAGTAACCATCAGATCATAAATATAAGCAACAGCCAAGAGATGGTGGGGTGGGGGGCAGGGGGAAGAGAAGAGGGTGTTTCTGCACAGTGTGAGAACTGCAACTATGGAATTTGTTTGTCCCCACTCACCAGCCAAGTTTTGCCAGAAAAAAACATGCATGTCTAGAACCAAACTGACATTCACCAATTCTTCCATTTCTTTTCAAGTTTCTCTCCAGACTACTATGACTGGGGGCATCAGAACAACAGCTTCATGGCTTATATAGGATCCCTTCAGCAAGATCCAACTCTGGACACAGACCGGCCTAGCCCTATATAACTTCAATCAACTACAGCATTCTAGGACATTCCAATATTAAAACAATTATTCTGAAAAACAAAGCTTAGCATTTTTTCTTCACTCTTTGTTTTTTAGAAGAGTGTTCCTATGCACAAGTAAATGAAGAACTCGTCTTTGCCACAAGCGTTTTGTAGTTCAAGAAGTATAAGCTAATGATTTAAACTTTGAAGACCATTCTACTTAATACCCTGTTCTAAGCCATGGTATTTTTGGGCTTTGAATAGAGTTGTTAGAGGGTATAATTTAATCATTTTATGCTCATTTTAAAAGAGCAAAATTCATGGAGCTAAATAGCATAATTATTTTCTAAGGATTTTTATTTTTTACACTGTGTATACATGACTGTATAAAGTAAACTGTAAACAACACATGAAAGGATTGCTCAAATGCATGACAGTTGGATTCTTACATGCACTTAGAAGCCTGTAAGGGAAAAATACCAGCTCTATTAAATATTGTCTTTTTAAGTTCCTGCTGCATTCTTGGAGCACAGTTTGCTGTTTAGGGCTGCAGAGCTTTCTTTCTGATGCAAGATGCTCAGAGGCTAACCACCATCCATGCACGACAGAAGATCTGCAACAGCACTGCATTCCTCTATGAAAATAAGGTCAGAAAATTGTGTCTTCTCAGCAGCTGTAGGGACCATCTCAGAAGGGAGAAGACGCTCAACTCAAGCATTTTGAAATATAAATGTACAAGTCTTCAGCCTGTTTTGAAAGATTAAAGTTCTATGATCACGTCTGTCAAGCAATTACTGGATACATTATTAGATATTTTATTTCAGAATTACTCAAATACTTGCATACTTATGTAAATATCTGATCAGAGAGGGGCATATATATATTAAATAAAACTAGGAGAATCTTGTCTATATCTGCATATAAAAAAAGGAATACAGAAGAGTTTAAGCAGAAAAGCCTCAACTGAGAGGTTAAAATGAGCATAACTGATAGGTCAGGAAAGCCTTGCTTCAGTTTTACACACTTCAGGGATAATTTGATTTAAATGCTATTCTAACACACAAAAAAACTAACACACATTAAGCATTAAAAAAAAAATCCTAATCTAAGGCAAGCAAGAACCCTAAGCATGATTTAGGTTTTTTGTTGTGCCTTATACTCATTAATACACTCTGTGAAGAGAACAAACCTGCACAGCAAGAACATTCCTTTTCCTTCCTTATTTTCCCCAAATGCTCTTTGAAGAAAAGAGCCAATTAACCTATCAGTCAAAGATTAAAAAAAAATGTGCTATGGGGGTGGGAGAACAACAGAAATCCTATTAAAAAGGCATCAATCTGAGCTCCACAAAGTGGCTGGACAAGATTCTTATACCTTCAGAGAAAGCGCTACAAGAGGCCCCGATTTCCTGAAGCTCTCATTCTCTGCTAGCAAACATCCCAAGAGGAAGCCTGTAAAAAGCAAAACAAAGCTGCAGCACTTAAGGTAAGGGGGAATTAGTATGAAACTAAATGCACTCAAAACAGCAAATCTGCAGCACAAATCTTGTTACCAAAAGGGAGATATTTTATGGGAGGATCAGGGAGATGTAATAAAATCAATTGTAGGACCAAAGTTGCATAGCTGTTTCATAAGCTAAAACATATATAAATAGTATAACTATATAATATTTACATTATAGAAGCTATCCTTAGTTATTCCTAAGGCTTACTGGCATTTAATCTTTAAAACAACCTTTTGTGTTCACCCCCTGAACAAAATTTCACACAAAATTCTGCCCTGAGAACTGTGGGGAAGAAATGCTGAGTAGTCCTCCCAGAAAAATCTAGGGTTCAGCTGGAGCTTCTGAGTTGCAAGTAATCCGCACTTTTTCCAGATACGAAAAACAAACAAAAACACAAGGATGTCCCTGCCCTGCGCTCTCTACACTGCACACTTCAACGCACTGCTCAGTCCTGCAGGCCCTTCCCCCCACCCTCCACCTCCTCCCACCCTCTGGATCTTTTGAGGACCTTTGTGAAGGGGCATCTTGAACCCACAGCACGACCGCTACCTCTCAACCACCATTAACAATGAACTCTCTCATACTTTGGTATAGCAAAATAATAACAATAAAAAGAGCACCCCCTACCTGCTCTTATGACATATTCTGCCTACAGAAAAGCTGAGTGGCTTCAGGGCAAGAGTAAAGGGACATGAGAAAAGTTGTCAAGTATGCTTTACTATAGCAGTACCTCTTCTGATCTAGGTTGGGCAGCTTGTTCGTGTTTTCCTCTGTGAATCCTAAGCATTCTTAGTTACTTAAAATCAGGTAAAAGCCAAATTTCCCTGGAGGTGGTTGCCATCAGGTTGGAATGAGGGTCCCTTTGAGATCTACTGTGGTCTAGTACAAAACTATGCAAAGACTCAGGGCAAAATAATGGCCAGGAATTGCATCTTTCTTCACACTAGATATAGATGTACAGCAGACATTTAAGAATCCTCCACCTAAAGAAAACTTAACCCCTTTGCCACAGTATGTTTGCAAAGGGCAGACTTACAAGTGGCTGTACTTGACTACACTAACAGAGAAATTTAAAGGGAAGATATCTAGCTGTAGAACATCATCATTTTCACACAAACGGAGGACATAACCTGGGATATCGATACCCGCATGGTTAAGATGATTAAGATGTTCAAGAAATGAAAAAAAATGGAGCCAGGTCAGGGAGCCCATCTGGGTGACCAAAACAAATGTGAAACAACTTTTATCTACTTGAGCAGCTTTTAAGAAAGAAAGGTCAGAACAGACAAACCAAAAAAACAAACAAATAAAAAAGCAGGCTTTTTGGCTCCTAGTATTATTGAATTTAAAATCCAATGGCTAAACTTGGCTTTATTCATACAGAAACATACTTCAATTTTGGCACATTAATTTCTGATGCTCTGCTACACTACAACACACTACAAATAGCAACAGATAGGCAGCAGCATTTTTATGAGAAATCCAAATGTTACAGCCATCTCTGGGACTGGATTCAATTGAGAATGAGAGCCTGGTAATTACTCTAAGCTTTAGTGACAACGACACACAAATAAATTCTGCAATTCCTACACGGTATAGTTGAAACATAAATTAAAGATAAAATCAACTGAAAAATCTATAAATTACATTCACAAAAAGATTTAGCAGAAAATACTTTAATTTGCATTTCATAGATTCAAAACAGCAAAGATTCAGAAATGTGTTCAGATCTCAGTAAGCAGTTCAAATATTAATTTTGATTTTAATAAATATCATTTTAATAGGCTAGATCTAAGGAGGAATTGTGAAGTGACGAGTTGACTGCCAGCTTATAAACATAAGCATTGAGCTTATTGACAACATATTAAAGGTCATTTCCCAGAAAAACACAGAGAAAGGTCAGGTAACAGTGACCCAACCACCTTAACTCAAGAAGCACAACTCAAGAAGGTGGGCCAAGTATTTCATATAAACACAGGGACATATATAGCACAAATCACCAACTGAAGTTGGAAAACACTTTTATTATTCCAGCTTACAGAAGTCTGTATCTTTTCTCAATTTATATTTTTGTCTCCAAACATTGAAGATCAAGCTTTCCAAGAACAGCGCCTACACTTTAGAGGTGCGGTTTGCACCAGATCTTTTTACTGCTTTGATTAAGTCATCATGATTTTGCAGAAGGGGTTTTGCCCTCTCACTACTTCTGTGGTTACAATCATTGCGTCATTTGTTCACAGAAATGTAATTTTGCTCTGAAATGAATAGCAGACAATGTTGACAAGCTGATCTCCATCAACAGCAAGCTGGACTTTAAAACAGCTTACAGCTTATGAACAGTGTAACTAACCTGATTCTTTAGTATAAAAAGAAATCTGCAATTTGCTAAAGTTTACTTTAACAAAGAACTAATTCACATGACAAAACTTCATAGGCAGCATAGTCAAAGAATGTACATCAAACAGTAAAAAAGTGACAGGAAAATTTCTTCAGCTAGTTTTCTAACATGAAAAAAATCTTACTATGTATTATTACAATGACATTGAGGTGAAATGTTTTCCATATTAAATGAGATGTACATTCAAATGCAACACAACTTCCCTGTACACAGAATTTTCTGCTGAAATGCATTCTTGTGTTTTCACAACCCAAAGTAAAAGAACTTGCCATGACTTAATGCCCTTGTCCAGCTGTATTAATCTTGCCCGGTTCGTGCCAACAAGGGTTACAGTGGGGAGCAGGTGCCCAGGCTCTGTGTGCCTGAACCTCTCACCTGTCCCATGAGCAGGTGCATCACACTAGTATATGATGCTGCTGCAGTGTCCATAAATTTTAGCCAGGCACTGGTGGAAGAAGAAAAGTAACAAGTTGCACCACCCAAAGAAGGTTGGAAGCAATGGACTTTCCCCACAAAAAGCAAGGGGGAAAAAGGGAAGAAATAATTCTAAGACTCAAGTTCTTCCTGGGACAGTGTAGAGAGTATTTACATACATATTTTTCCCCCACACACTAGAAAATCTTGCCTAAAGTCTTAGGCACTACAGTAATAATGAAAAGTCTCAGCTATGTAGCATTCTGTGAACACGCGAGCCTACAAGTTCCAGCCCTTGCAGGTCAGTCCAAAAGGTAAGGAATTAACAGCCAACTGGAAAAAAAAAATCTTTCAATATATACACTAACGTGTAATAGTTAATATTAATTTGACCAAAAACAGCTGTTCACATTTTAACTAGTTATCTAGGTTCCCTTTTCAATTTAAATTGAGAAGAGAAACTCCAGGGTGAAGAGTATTGCATCCTAAAATCTCATCTTGTACAGACCTCAAAACAGGTCAGATGAATCTGCCCAGAAGCCGTCCGCTCTCCTCCCTAACCAGGAGGGGAACCTGTGACCTGCTCAGACGAGGGTGCCCGCAGGCAGCGAGGCTGCTGGGCGAGAACGCAACAGCCTCACCCCGCGGCTGCCACGAGCTCCCTCGGACCCTGCGATCAAACAACTACTGCCTTAAACAGGAACAAGAGACTGGATACCAGTACATTGCCCATTTATGCCACCACCACCAAAGCTGTGTTCATTTTTTTTCCTTCTCGTTTAGCTGTCCCCAGGCCAGCTCAAGGACTTTCTTCCTCCAGAAACAATACTTGGAGAGGCCCACGCAGCGAGCGGCAGCAAGACAGCGTCTCATCTCGTCAGGTAGGAAATCCAGCAGGTTCTGGAAAGTCTGGAAACAGAGGACACGGAGCACACTCCAGCTTTCAGAAAGGCTCAACTGTAAAGGACCACAACAGGGCAGCCAATACAGTTACAGTAAGTTATATGAACAAGTCAAAAATCTGCTTGGGTGAGAAACATTTGAGAATTTAAGAGCACTTTATTCTGTGAAGACTTTTATAAACAAAGGAAAATTGTCTATACTGTACCAGCATTTCCTACATTCATAGCTCCTACCTTCATTTTTAAGGATGCTTAAAAAAAAAAATCTTCATTTTAAATTTAAACCAATATTGTTGCAACTAATCAGTAGTACTTTTTCTGAATTTTGGACAATGATAAGCTACCACTGATATTTGCGGACAATGATAAATAACAAATCTCTAATTTTATGCAAATTATATCATTAATATACCCGTTTTATTATGCTGAATATCCTTTTTAAAGGAAGTACAAGTAGGGATTGCATAGATAGAATATGCAGTATTAAATGTCAGTATGATTATGAACTTTAAAAAGCACTTTTTAAAAGTGACTATAAAAACAAGTTCTTATATTTTTGCACTGACCTTTTAACACAGCAATAGCACATAATCCATTAAGACAAAGTATCTTTCATTGCTCAAAGAGAAAAATGTGCTATTTTAACATTTTAAACATTAAAAGGACAATTTCTGGAAACTGAACTTGTAATTACAGTTTGGAAGAAGATAAAGGGGGCTGGATGCAGAGCTGGCTGAGCAAAGCTTTCCTGCTAGCAGAATGCCACTGAGCACCCCCTCCCTGCACAAGCAAATGCAGGGTGCCAAGATAAGGGGCTGCAGAAAAGTTACCTCCAGCTATACTGCACTTAAAGGGAACCTTTCAAAAGCACCAGGTACGAAAAAATATTGGTATCAGCACAACCCAAGGGAGCTCCGTGTGAAATGACATTTTCTGCTCAATAAATGTCCTATTTTTAAGTTTCATAATTACAGCAAGAAGTCACAACTCGACAAGAGTTATTTCCTTTTTCAGTTTTTCTTTTACGCAGTCAGAATCAGAGTACCCAGGACTCAGAGTACTCAAAATATGCTGAAGTTTGGCCCTGGGCACGACAGGGAGGCAGGAAAGAACTACCTCTCACAGGAAAGGCCAAGTCAGGATGGAGGTACAGGCATTTCATGTAAAACAACTATCTTGGGGGAAAAAAAAGTCAGGAAATAAAGAAAATTTAGAAAGTGTCAATACAACAGAACTGTGAGCAGAGAATTTACAAAATAAACAGATCAGCATAATTTACATGTTTTAAAACTATATACTGCAAATCATAAATATCTTTTCTAATAGCCATTCCTAGTTTAAACATAAATATTCAAGTTGGTATTTGATTTTACTTTTGATCAGTTCGTAAGAGTCCTGCAAGGATCAGTTCCTTCTGTTCAATGCAATTGTGCAAATGATCTTCAGTAATGGGATTTGCAAAGGCCTTCATTACCTAGTCTGTTGTAATAAAACTTTAAAATTCTGCAATTCTTTTATACTTGTGGAAAGCCTGTAAAAGAAACAAACGTTCAAAGTGTTATTAAGTCAGCTGTAGAAGTGCCTTTTTGGGGGGGAGGAAGAAGGGGCGCGAAGAGAAAGGGAGTAAATTCTATCGCACAAATTAGCATACTATTTTTCCTCAGAATATCTATTATCTGGCACTTCATAATATTTACAGAATATTAGAGCGATTCAAGTTTAGACCGATCTAAAAACTGACCTCATTCAACATATCCAAGACCTCTCAATAGAGGCAATAATTCCTACTATCCACATTCTTTGGAACAGCAACATAACTAGAAGTACTTATGCTCACGATCTGGGAAACTAGAATGATGAACAAATCATTCTTCACATCTTTTAAAACTGATGGAAAGCTTTATTTCATGTCTGGAACAGACAAAATTATTGCAGTTTACAAAAATTTAGACAAAAACTAAAGATCTAAGAAATAATTACACCACACAAAAATCTGAATGCCCTGGGGACATAAAATGCCTGAACTATTTTTGTTCCTTTTCACTACTACTTATTTATACACATTTAAGACAGAAGTATAAAATGTATTTGTAGAATGGCTGTAGTCACTATCCCAGGCCCAAAAGAGAGAAAACATACCCAAACTCTAATCAACAGGACTGTTCAAGAGACTTAAATCCAGACTTCTTAAGACTGAATTTGAGATCTGGGATAAAGAAATGAGTAAGATGCCAACATAATGATTTAGCTTGATGGCATTATGTTCATTCATGTCACTAGTAAATATGCAGTCTTTAGAAGTTACAGCTACCTGATCAACACCACCTTTCCACACATCTTGTGCATTGACACGAAAGTTTTTTTTTTCCTTTTTAAACTATACAAATGACAAAATAAACCTACCTTCCAAAGGCATTTACAAGAGCAACTATTTCTTGACGTGTGAGTTGAAAACCTTTTGATGGACTATTCTCAGGAAGGCTCTGTATTTCTTTTTCAGAAAATAAAATCTTCAGAGCAGTTCCTAAGCCTTGAGTCTACAAGAAAATTCCCATGTTTTAGTATCAAAAGGATTACACCCTCTTACTCTCCGAAAATGGTAAATAAGTTACAGAATTACTAATCCAAACATGTATTATCAATTCTTATACAGTGACCCTCCCTCAGCCTGAGAAATACTTTGCACATAAACTAAAACTCTACTGCAAAGTACACAGCTGTTGACATGCATAAGGTCATTCACTTAAGAACTCTGTTCCCTTAAGTGTATTTCTTCTTCCTCTTGTTTTTAATCTTTCTCCATTTCTCTGCTTACCAGCATACCAGATGTATCTGACCTGTTAACACACCACTTCCGACTCTTCCACTGCTAACAGTACAGAAGCATCTCTGCAGCGCGACCTGTTGGATCAGAGCTTTTTCCTTCCTCACCCACTTTTTCCACAAACTATGTTACAAGGTGTCACAGGGTATCTCACGCTTTTTCCAGCCCCAGTCTCAAAGGTAGACATTGTAGCTTCCTTGCAAACCCTCTTTTCTGCACAGGAGTAGAACAGAAGCTATTATTGCTTCTCATTTTAATCAGGCTGGGAAAGAACTACTGGCTTTTGAAACAAAGTAGTTGAATGCCTTGATTCCTCTTACAAACAGCCTCATCTTCCCTACTTCATATTGCATGAGGAGAAAAAAAAAAAAAAAAAGGCAATCAAAAGATCAGAAAGAGTAGCTAGGGCAGGCCAAGCAGAAACCTGGAAATTCTGCAAAGGGCACTGATTTCTCTGTTCTGATTTTTTGTTGTTGTCAAGAACCACACTCTGGTAAGCTTAATGTTCTGCAGTGATAGGCACCCAAAATACCAACTCTCCTCAGTCTGAACTTAACATTAGTCTTGAGATATAAAATCTTGTTCTGAATGAAATAAAAATATGAAGTCTCCAGAAATAGATTTTAAAACTCCCTCATCTTTACTGTGCATCTTACACTATTCTATAGTTATCTGAAGATCACCTTTCAACTGGAAAGGTCTCGGTTTCTAGAGAACTTTCTAAATCTAAAAAAAAGTGTTATTTGTTTGCTGCCTTCTCCGTAAATAATCAAAATCTGAATGAACTTTTTCTTATGCCTCAATTTGTGGAATTAAATCTCACATTGGACTTCAACGATTACTCAAGCAAATGCACTATTCCCAGGAAGGCTCCCAACGATTACTCAAGCAAATGCACTATTCCCAGGAAGGCTCCCTGCACCTGATGGAAGGCTTATCTGGTCACTGAGTACAGACGTTGATTGCCAGCAAAACTATGCCTTGAAGTGTCTGTTCAAAATGAAGTTTCGACTATATCTTTTAGTCAACAGAAGAACTGTGGAGAGTTTTATCATGTTCTTAAGTTAAACACATTTTGTTTAAAAGTAAGGTAAAAATAGCTGCATTTTTAGTACATATGTAAGAAAAGCTAATGTCCAGAAAGTCTGGATATTTTGGTAAGAGGGATCCTGCCAAACTAAAATAGATGCTACTCTCCCAACCTCAATACACAAAACAAACCATACCTGAAGCTTGCCCCACAATCTGCATTTATCACATCCAACACAATCCATAATGCGGGATATGTTCTTAAAATGCAATCGAAATTCTTCCTAGTTGTTAGATGAAAAATTAAACAACAACAAAAGAAAGGTTAGCTTAAAATACTTAGTTTTATACAGGTTACCTGTTTTAGTACCACTGGAGTATCAATCCTCTCCTGCTAATGCAGAACAAAACCTTTAGCACACAGGTGCAAGCATTGTATCTTTTTTCCAAGCTCAGCATTTCCTGAGCTGTTTCTTTGTGTCTCTGCCAAATTTTTCTTCTATTAAATTGTCCAATTCTTTGTGAACCTACATGCATTTTTTGACACACAGGCGAACAAAGTTAGACACAAGAGACTTTCTGTTCAAAGCTACAGGCAGATTGTTGCTTTGCAGCTTCAGTTAAAGCGAAAGCTACAGGACCTGTCAAGGAAACAGGAGCCACACAGCATTAATGAAGATGGTTTAAATTAAATATCTAAGATCAAAAAGAAAGTTAGCTGGTCTATAAGCTATTAGCATCTTTTCATAGTGAGAGATTCCAGTTACTATCTAAATAATTAGTAAAAGCAGACTTGCACCTTCGTTATTATAAGCCACACAGCTGTTGTGGAAGTGTAAAGCATGGCAACTCCAACAACTGCCTGTTAACACCAGAAGTCACTACACAGCGTTTTCATTAGATTCTAGCCTCTAGGAACTACATCTTTTTAAGGTTCATTTTCATTCATCTACCTGTACATATAATCATTGGGCATGTTTTTAGAGCAAAGTTAAAAAAAAAAAAAAAAGTCACTGGATTTTTCCTTTGAGAAACCTAATCCATATAAATACAATATTGCTTCTAATAGACTTACTTGCCTTATATCACAGCCCTAATGGCAGGCCAAAGGCACTGAAACAGATTTTAGTTTGTTTGTTTGGGTATGGAGGACATCGTTCTGTAAATTCTGTAAATTCTTAATCCCTGACTTTTAACACTTTGTTTTCCTCAATCCCTGACTTTTAACACTTTGTTTTCCTCATCTACCAAAAGCATGCTGCTGAAGGAGCTTTTCTAAACTGAGTATTTTGTATGTTAATCAGAGAGTACCAATTAACCATACTGCCTTACCTTTAATGACTTGGCTCCTTTTTTATCTCCAGCAAACATGGACTTTTCATCAAAGTGCATACGGAAGGACCTGGTAAAGACAAAACAGAAAAACAACCCATAAACTACAAAGTACCATCAAGCTCACTGAGCAGTGGTTTTGATTGGAATAAGATGGCACATAGAGATTCATATACAGAAACTGAAAAATAAAAAGCAAGAAACCAACATACTAACATTCAGGATGCAAGAGAGACTTTCCCAATTCCATGCTCTTCCCAGAATAGCTTTTCAGAATTTCACCAAAGAGTAACAGTTTCACTACTTAGGGTGAAGAATTTTCTCAACAAAACTGTGAATTACACATTTCAAGTTATAAAACTATTTCCACTGATCAATACTTTCTTTTAATATATAATTAAACCTTTTAGTATTTGCCTTTCAGCTTGATCACTGCTTGATCGCATCTCAAATATCTAGCAAGATTACATTGAGGGAGAACAATTAAGCCACAGAGCATGTTATCTATCACAAGAAATTAGTGAAAATGTGAGCAAAGACTCTGGAGTAAGGAACTAAATGGTTAAAACCTCAGAGTTAAAAATCTATGCTAAAAATTTAATTAGTCTTTGATCATTAGAAGACTACATGGAGTATTTTCCTTTTCAAAATAAGTTAGGTGGCTCATATACTTAAGAGTCTTCCTGACAAAAGTACAAATTCCTCTTGTTCCCTCATAGCTTAATTTTACTTGGTCATCCTCCTCTCCCCTCCATCCTGCATAGTCAGCGAGTCATGTATTTCCAGCTTGAGAATATAACTAAGAATTTCAAACTACTGATAAAAGTTTGTGCCTTACTTTGTATCCCTGAAGATATCTAGTAATAGAGCTTTAGATTCAGCATCCTCATGACCATTTCCAGTGTAAAGGTCAACAACCGAACGCTCAAAGTATGGTGCAACCTTTGATAAAGCCCGCAGCTCTATCAAATATAGAAAATAGAGGTTTTTGAGCCTCCTTGGTCCTTCTCCTTTTGTTTCAATAGGGTCAAAGCGGCGAGTGAACTCTTTTACATTTGGTCCCCAGCGAGGTTTCCCCCAGGTTTCTAAGACAGAAATAAAAAAGAGGGGAGGGGAGAGATAAATATATTTGGATAAAGATTACAACCAAGTATACACCAAAAATATTTAGAGAAAAACAAATACACGTTAAGGATAACCTCAGAGTCCATTCATTACTTTTTCCATCAACTTAGATTACCTTCAAGAAGATGATTTGCACATAGATGCAAGTTGATGCTAGCATGAAGTCCAGAAATGAGTTTATAGAACACTCTTTTCTCAAGGCAAAGACCTGTCCAGGAAGAGAAGAGACAAATCAGAAAAAAAAAAATCCCTCAAAACTAAATACTTAACATATTACAATTAACACATCATTATTTCATCTTTCACATAAAGTCTTTGTCATTTAACTTTCAAGTTACAGTACTTCAGCATTATTTTAGCAGTACTTTTAAGTATTTATATCCAACAAGCCCTAAGAATAAGGCTTGAAATATCATTTCTTAGCTTATACACCTAAAATGGGCAGAAAATTCAAAGTGACTGGTATTGAAGTGAACTCCCCCTTTTAGAAGATTAAACACTGAAACATTTAAGTAGTGTACAATTTAAATGATTAAAAGAAGTTCTCAAAAGGTCTTCAAACAAAAATATTCTCTAAGTGACATTCAGAAGTTCTGCGCAATTCATTAAAAGCCCACACTACGAAAAATATTTGAGGAAAGGAAAAAAGTACACTGTCTAGTGAATTTATTATGTTAGCCATCCAAGAGACTTTACCTTCTAGCCATGTGTAGAAAGATTCTCCTGTAAATAAAAAAACATACAGTTAAACAAACAGTATTCAGTTTCAACATTATAGTATGCCTATTAGCGGCCAACTGGTCACAAATCTAAATAATTTAGCTATTCAGTCACCGAGGTGACAGAATTTTGAGGTTAGCTCAAGTCTTTTGAAGTCGAGAAAATTACAAGAACGATCATGATTAAGCTACTAGTGAGGGTGTTCAGAAATCAGAATCCTGATTTTTTGCACTAGCAGTGAAGGACACGTGGCAAACATGAACGTGCAAAGGGGAACATTAAGTGATACAAACAAGCACTTATTTCCTCTGCACGCCAAGTGGCAGCCTTCACTTTGCCCCTTACTGTGCAAACGGTTCCCTGGTGGCTCTCCACTCTGATGCTTACATCTTTTGCCCTATGAGATCTTAGTTAATGGAAATATCTCAAGTCCCATTGCTGACAGACCTCATGTTCTTTCCTCCCCACCTTGGCCTTGCTTTGCCCAAATCAGAAGAACGCTCGAGGAGAACAGAGCACCCAGTCCCTGTTCTTTTACAGGCTTGGACACATGCACACCTGGAAGAGACCCAAGACTCAGGAATCCTTCAATTTATGTCCCTCTACTCTTCTCACTAGTTAGGCTATTACAACACAAACTCTAGCAAGGATATGAATCAAAAACAAAGCTGTACTGTGCTATTGCTCACTCCTTCCCCTCACTCCCATTGAAAGAACTGTCCTGACAAATTACTTGGATAAAAACATAACTTGCCTACTCTCTAGTGTAATAGCAGTAACACTAGTGCATCAGAAGGCCGAGATTGCAATGCTTACTGCATTTCTAGAGGTTAAGCATAATAAGACGACTTACCATCATCCCCACCTAGGAGGAGAGGGGAAAGAAAAAAAAAAAATAGAATCCATGAGCTTTAAACAGACCATTTCACAGCAAAGCAGTAATGAAACAGGTCTACTATAAACACTTGGGAAAAAAAGCCCAAGAAACTACCAGAAAATGCAGGCAGCTTTCCACCTTCTTCCTCCTCCCCAAGTCAAGGCGAGACTAAATATGTTACTATGATAAAGTTGGAATTTCAAAAAGTTAATAGTATCTGATTTACTTTTTTTAGTATTTTTGACAGATATCCTCTAGCTTCAGAGAGGCAAGCAGGAGTCATGCTCTTCAGTTCACATAAATTCAGTCTGATTGGTACTACTTTCCAAAACTCTGATCCCTGAGTTAAACTACTTCTATAAGTAGTTTTGTGCATATACACTGGCAATATATTAAAAATAACAGAACAATTTATATTGCTAAAAGATATCTTGTGCTTGCAGTCTGTGGTGGTATTTTCTAACAGAATCTTTGGTTATTAGTTTTTTTATGGGAAGAGTGAAACAATGACGGGGGAAAGTTGTACACCGATCAGTTAGCAACACAAACTTATGTTCAATTTAAATTGAAGAATTTTAAACCCAGGCCATTGGCATACATTGCAATATTCATTTTAATACATTTCTGAAAATAACTGAGCATTTCCTAAGAAACCATACTTTCTTTCAATAGCGTAATTATGTGGACACCTGTAATATATTCAATATTAATTAATAAAAACTTATAGCTCTATTACATTAGGATGTTTATCAGCTGAAGTGACTAATTTAAATGCTTTAGGAGAAAAAAAAGACAAGTGAAGAGTGGTAAAGAGTGTTGTGGAACTTTAATCCTTCAACTTCTCATCCACCTCAGGAAAACTACTGTAACACTGAGCCAGTAAACTGCTCTAGATATGCTTTATTTCTTCTGTCAGCTGCACTGACACTGACAAGCCTATTCACATGAACAAGATTAAGCACTTATGTAAACCAAGCCTGATCATAAATCTAAAACTGAGATTTGAAAATAGATAGCTACATCTACATAAGAGGGAGGAGGAAAAAAAGCCGCACATCTACTGACTGAAGAATATTATTTGCATCATTTGCACGGCAACAGTCACTCTGTTAAAAGAAGTCATTAAAAATAAAACAGGCGAGACCCACCCCTACTAGGCGCCAGTGGATTTAAAGGACGATAGACAGATCGAGGCCTGGAAAAGGAAGTTAGAAAACACAAAAATCAGTTCTAAGACATGTTAAAGTGCAGATATAAAAACAGGTTCCCTCTCCATCCCAATTACTTGAAGCAGTTTTCTTCATAAATGCTGTTCCACACTCTCCATGCAGAGGTCCCTTTGTATCCAGTGTAACGTTCAGGATTCAGCAGCAAATCCACATACTGGGCATCTGGGGATCTCTCATCTAAACAGGAAAGTTTGTGATATACTCCAGCTGACCATTTAAAAAAAAATTAACAAAAACAGTTGCACAGAATTAAATGTGACTTCTGATACAATACTACTGTATTGTCTTCTTGGATTATAAATGCCTTGTGCATAACAACATAGCAATACACACCAAAGAGAAAACTTCAAAGGACAGGATTTCGTCCAGTCCCTTGGGCTGCCATAATTTCTGCTGTACCTGAACATTTTTTATGGGGTCATTCAACAATACTATTAACTATGAACACTTGTCACAACATATGTGTTTTCTCACCTTATTACAAGGCTTTGTTTTAAGCAGACTTCAAATTAAGGGTTAATTTGCCTGGAAGTGTCAGAGGAGGGCTAAATGGGAATAGTACTAAGTGGTTTTCTTAGGGGAGACAAGGTTACAGAAGTGTATCTTGTAGTTGGAACATATTGTGACAAGATTTATTAACTAAAACTTTTCTTCCCCCCCCCACCAGATATTCACATATCCTAGCAAAAAAACTAGGCTCACGCCACTTCACTGAATGAGTTTTCAGTGTTTACCAGATTATCTGTTGGTTACAGAACAAAACACACTATTTAAGTGGTACGTCTGCAAGTTACACCCCTCTCAAGTTCACTTTAAATTTCAGGAAACATATACAAAGAATCCTGTTAAACTGCTCTGTCTGCTTGAAAACTCTGTAGGAATAGAAACTTCAGTTTTGAGTTGAGTTACAACCAGTAAAAAGCAGGTAGAATTCCCTCCTCTCCTGTATGTTAGGAGCAATTCATGCTTAAAAAAACAAACAAAAAACAAAACAAGACAGTAGATCACAGACTTAAACCATAATCAAAAAAAATAGGTCAAGCAGCACCACTGAGTATTTCATCAGATGTTGGGAAAAAAATACAAAAAGAAAACCCCCAAACAAACAAACAAACCACAGAAGGAAAGAGAGAATTGTTCTAGAAAGAAGAGGTGATCCTGCATGAGCAGTTAAGCACGGAAAAAGAGGAAAAAAAAAAAAAAAAAAAAAAGAGAGAGAGAGAGAGAGAGAGAGAGAGAGAGAGAGACAGAAGACATAAATGAACACACAGCGAGTGCCAGATGGGACAAAAAGTCAAACCAGAACTTGCTTTATTTATCTGACAGCATGGCTAACCTAAGCAGTTCCTAGCTTTCCTGGTCACTTGTTCCTCTCTTTGTCTACCCACACCTGGAGTACGTGGGACACTGCAGCAGAACAGATGAAAATCTGATCCGGGTTAAGAAGTACTTTTTCCCCCCATGTAGATCAATTCTCTGATCTAGTTTACCATTTTGCACTGCAGCTGAGCCACCTGAGAGCTCTCTGCCACCCATCAGGACAGAACAAGAGTTTCTTCTGCCTCCTAGCTGCACGGTTCTTTCTCCCTCCTCTTTCCTATTGCTCTAGCTAAGCCAAGTGACCCCAACAGACAAGGCAGGGGCTGGAGGAAGACAACACCAACTTATCTTTCTGCTACTGCAACCCCATGAAGCAGAAGCAGTGCAGAGAGGCACTGGAAGCACACGGAGTGGGGCAGCACTTCCCAGTTGAGGAGCAGTGCAGTGGAGTCAAACCACTTCATCCTGCTGCTAAAAGAAATGCTCCTTGAACTGAACCCTGACCAAAGGACTCCTCTTGAAAAGCTGAGTTAAGTGTGCAACTTTAAGATTGCAGAGATAACAGCAGCTTACTGCATATTCAGGTCCAGATCCACATAATGCTCACTAAGCATTTACCATAAACAGCTGATACAGAAATTTTTCACAGATAAGACAGAGTAGAAGTGCTGAAAGAGACCTGTAATTGTTAAGTCAGCTACAGCTGCTACTATCTCAGGTGACACCAAACACGAGCTTAAAGTTAAGTTAAACATCTTGTAGTCTTTCTACAATGGAAGGCTAAAGCATCTTTTAAAAAGAATTTGGGCAGCCACTGCCAGATTTTCAACCATGATGATTTTCATATTTATCTGAAAAACTTTTCCATATGATTTAAATCTTAGAAGGAAATAAAAGGACTTGAACGTGTGGCGCAGAGAAGACAATTCAGCATACTGTTTTAACAAGAAAGTCTTTACAAAAAAAGGGTGAGTTTACCATAGAGACCACACAGGAAGACTGGAAAGGAATAGATTCAGCCCAAGCAGACACAATAAAATTAACAGCAAAGATGGTATGGCACTGAAACTAAATTAGGTGCAAGTAAGGTGTCTTATCCTTGTATCATATGCAACTCTTCTGTCGGAAGTAGGGTTATATATGTATGTGTGTGCGTGTGTATATATATATATATATATATACACACACACACACACATATATAGTATATATATACACTAAAATCTTCCCATTAATTTTTTTCTTTTCTATTTCCATCAATGCTTCCTGCTCACTATACCAACAGGAGGTAATAGTATGTATTAGGCAGACTGCCAATTGTTCCATGTAAAAATGGCATTCTCTGCAGGTAAGATAATACGAACCACCACAAGACCATTTAAAGTAAATTATTAAAATTCTATATTAAAAATAATTTAATATTATTAATTAGAACTTTAAAAATAGTTATTTGTGGAGCAACTACCACCTTCTGTGTGTATGTGTATGCACACTTGCTTTGCTTTAAAGAGACAGCAAATCAAACAAATATTCTGAAAAAGCTTAAACATTTTACCATCAAGTTCACAAAAATGATCCTGTGAATCATCGTATCTTGCCCAGTCAATGAAAGCCTCCTTACTTTGGTTACTGAGGGGAAGAAAATACATTTGGTTTAAAACTTTAAATAAACAATGTCAATAAGAACTATTGAAAGAAACACGATCCACATAAAGTAACCTCAAACTGAAATCTAAAATACTCTGACACTCTCGAATATATGGAGTTACCACTACTCAGTAGCTGCACAGAAGTCCAAGCAAGCATCAATTGTAACACTTCTAAAAGCAAGTTTAGCATAAAATAACACAAAAGATTTTACTGTAGCTTGTCTTAATGAACTGAGCACTGGCAATGACTTCTCTCCCTTCAGTAAAAGCTTGGCAAAATATTTCCACAGCACAAGTTTTAAAACACTTCTCAAAGTAGTCCTTCAGTAACTATCATTTTTAATTAATTTTAGAGGGACCTCTATTTTCAACGGGACCTACAATAGTTAGCTTTGCTTTGATTGGGAGGTTGCATTCCCCCTAGAAACACCTTCCAATTTAAAATATTTTATGAGCGTGATCCATCTTCAGCCTTCTATGCAGCACTGGTATTGCACTCATCCTGGCATTTCTAAGGCAGGCACAGGTAACTAGAAGCTCCCTATGAAATGCAGACAGCACCAGAAGTTAAATGCTTCCTACTGAAAACATATGCAGTGCAAAACTGCTGATGCTGCTAACACCAACACATAAGCAAGGTTCAGTTTTGGAACTCCTGCTCTAGGATAGAGCCTTGAAGTACTGAGAGTGCCCATTCAGTTTGATCAAATTAAAACTAGCTCATTTACATAGAGGCAATTCTGCAACAAGATACAGTTCTTACCTTCTGCCAAATCACAACAACAGACTTTATATTTGGCAATAGCTCAGGAGCCTTAAAAGCTTCCCTAACGAACTTCTCTGGTAATTACTACTAGTAATTACTAGTAAAAGCTAGAAAACATTTGCTAATAAGCAATACAATTGATAAAGGAGAATAACCCAAAATACACAAGGATGATGCACTGCTAGGTAGAGAATGAGGAGGTTGCCTTACAAATCACAAACTCTTCTTGCTATTTCAAGATCATCCGCACATGTACTCAGTTCCTTTTTTCCTTTAGGAGTGGGACTTATTTTCCATTAAAAAAAAATACAAATCTCTCCTTCAATAGAACTGAATTTTCTATTTCTACTTTTTAAAGGTGGAGAATCTAGAATAATACACATTTCTGTGCATGCTGTTAACACGCTTGCCAATTCAGTGGCAACACAATCCTGCAGATTTCCTCCCACCCATGCAATAAGCAAGATCAGGGGATTGATCCAAGCTAAAAAGTAACTTTGCAAAAAATAAAGGAACTCAGGGGCTCCTTGATTCGGTTCACTAAAGATCACAAACAGGCTATCAGTGTAACAGAAGACAAAGCAGGACAAAATCTCTTAATTCAGTGCAGTCATCAAGAACAAAGAAAGAACCAGCAAGAAGTAGTGGGAAAAATTGTTTTTATTTGCAAGGTTTCTCCCTCCAGGTGCCATAAAACTACTTCAGACTACTCACTGAAGTCACTTTTTTAGAGAGGAAAGAATCTATCACCTTCTCAAAATCTGTCAAATGCTCTTTCACATTTACTTTTTAATGGACTATGGAAAGAATGAAGAACAAAAATGAGCACATTGCAAAAACAAGACAGACATAATGAAACGCTGCTTTGTTACTATTTTTGTATTATAGTCGTAAATCACAGCATACCTTAAGGTACTGTTAACTGCTCCTAGTTTGTTAGCTTGCTCACAGTCTTCCAATTCTTTGGAATTATTTGCTGCTTTTGAATACTGTAAAATAGTTTATAGTTAGTAAACAAATAAATTACCTAAAATTCTTTGAGAATAAAAAGTGACGTGAATGTGTTTCTGAGTTTAGAAGTGAATCTGCCAGTATTGGCATCTATTTTAGAAGTTGCAAATAACTTTGGAATATTTCTTATTTCTTTCTTCACTAACTTTCATCAGGCAAATTTCATCCTACTGATTTAAATATCAGAGATATTTTTAAAAATATATTTGGCTGAATTAAATGCGTTCTGAAGTGGTTTAGATACTTTTTTTTTTAAAACATTCTTATAAGCTGACCTTGAAAGACAAACATTCTTGTACCCACACACATATCTTATATTTTGCAAGCATCATCACAACGCAAGGTGATTTTTGTTTTGATGGAAAACTTAGCCGTTATTGTTATTTCGCCTTTATGTTTCAATTAATCCTGTCCATAAACACAATTTAAGCAAGGATAGACCTGGCGGAGAGGCTTCTTGAACTGGATTCTGATTTTGCTTGTTCTGGGGTAAAACCAGAATCGAGATTCTCTGACACGACAATATTTTAAAGTAGTAATCCAGTAAAACAGAAGTATACTAAAAGCAAGAAATTAGGTAAAATGGTGAAAAAAATTAGAGAATTCCTTCATTTAACTATACTATGTTTAAGTCACCAGGAAATTTGTCAGCCTGCCAGCTGAAAGATACTCTAACAGCTAAGGAACATAATAGATGGTATCAGTGCTCACTTAAAAAAAATAAGCTCAACTTCTTTTTTTGTTTGTCTTTCAGATTGAGCCTGTGGATAATAGAGATTTTTATTTTATCAGCCTCTAATAAATACAGAAAATGACTTAATGTTAGCAACCAGTAGCTTGCCATAAAGCTAAACCACTGGTCTCCACTCCATTGTACATACCTACACCAATTCCCAAATCAAAACTAAATCATTTGGATTGTCACTCTGAAATTTAGGCTTACAAACTGCAAGATTTGTTTTAGTGTTCATTATATTTGATATTACAAAGTTCACAATACCGTACAATTGTTGACATGAAGCATTACTATCCAACTGGGGCACAACTACACGACTCAAACTTCTGAGAAAATTGCTAAGTTTGTGAGAAAGCTTTGAGAAAATATAAAAATACATAGATCGGGTCTAAGAAAAATAGAGGTAAAGCTGCCGACAGAGGTGAGATTGTTGAGAGACAGAGCTGTCAATATGATGGTGCTCAAGGATTTCAGAGTAGAGCAGCTGAGTCAGAAACATAAAATAAGTATGGAAGGTGTCAAGCACTGGCGGCTCTGCAACAGTGAGGATCACCCTGTAGCAAAGGGCAAGGGAAGCTCACCCTTTCCCATCTGACAACTGTCTGGCAAGCAAACCCCTAAGTACTTTACCATACTAAAAATTGATGTTTATGCTAAGTGCTTGTTAGTCCTCAGTAGCCACTGTGCATATTAATCAATTGCTTTGTACTTTCCTGTTGTCTCCCTAGCTTACAGTCTCTTTGCACACTCTAAAACTTGCCTGAAATGACTCAAAGAAGGGCTACACAACTAAACCTTGCACAGGATGCCCTGCACTACTAGCTAAAGACAGAAGACTTTGGGGATGCTAATGAAAGGCTATGGACAGCATTAATTTTTAAAGAGTATTTTTAAGGGTTTGTTTTATCCCATACACCATGCAAATAAGCAGTTAAATAAAGAGCATGCATGCTTTTGTTGTAGGACAAATAAATGAGAGGCCTTCCTACTATGCAAAATGAGCCTAATTCACATTTAGAAATACTAAAATGGAATACAATGTAATTGTTAAAAGAGGAAATAAAAGATCCTACTGAAGACCAAAAAAGTGTAATCCCCACCCCCGCCAAAAAAAAGCAAAAAAAACTTTTCACGCAGTTTTCTTCTATTTTCTAGGTGTGGGGCTCATTCTTCAGCATCATATGACTGTTAAATGAAAAAATAAACTACCTGAAAATGGATCTGACCTAGAAAGAAACAGAACCTGCTGATGAAATAACATACTGAGGTGCTAAACAAAATATTCTGCGTGTCTAGATTTGCAAACCAATCCCTACCCTGAAGTGAAAAAATGACTGCCAAGAACATCATCCTAAATCTAAGTTTCCAAACAGAGTGAATATTCAAGCCTAAAATATGTTTGCAGACTCCACAATCCTCCTGTGTCTAACAAAAGTGTCTATGGAACCTTTATTGCTGCTGTGATCTTGATCAGGACAAAGTATCTGTTTTTGCCAAAGCAAGATCTCCCAAGAGCAGCTTCTGAAAGAAAACTGAAGAGAACCAGGCAAGAAGGAATAAATGAAGTTAGATGTTGTATCCTTGAGTTACTGCCTCCTGTACTTTGTTTTGTGACAGTTCTGGAGAGCCTGTCCCCACAGAATGTTTCATCACTCAAATGATGCAAGACCAAAGATAGGGAAGCTACTCTGGGCCTCTCCAGCAGCAGTTCAGAAAAGGCCAGCTGGGTGCAAATAAAGAGATTTTCTATTGCTAACTGCACATCTGTGAGGAAGCTGGGGAAATGTAATCCTGACTTTTGTGGGTAGTTAATGCACCAAAAGCAGAAGAGCCATATCTGCTAAGTCCTATGGTTAAACAAAGAAGTAAACAGAAAAAAAAAAATCTGAAAGCTTAAAGTTTACAAGACCTTCTGCATGAGGAGAAAAGGATAATAGGAAACTGCACAGAAGCCCAGGCCTTTGACCACAGAGGACTTCTCCACAGAGTTCTACCTTGAGTGCACCTACACAAGAGAATCCAACTCATAGTACAAAACATATCGCAGACAATAAAATCTGAAATGAGCGACTGCTACAAAAGGTTGGGTTGCCATTCAGAGGAACCCTGCCAGGCTGAGGAAACAGGCAGAGAGAAACCTCATGACACTCTACAACGGAAAGTCCCACATTTGGGGAAGAATAACCCAGCACTAGAACAGTCTGGGGCCCACCCAGCCACACAGCAGCTTTCCAGGGAAGGACCTGGCAGACATGGTGAACGTGCAACCTCATGGCAAAGACCCATGGCATCCCAGGCTGCAGTAGGAAGCACACTGCCAGCAGGCTGAGGGAGGTGATCCTTTCCTCCACTCAACACTGGTGAGGCCACATCTGTCCACTTCTGGCCTCCCAGTATGAAACAGATTGAGATTCACTGGAGCAAGTGTAGAGAAAGGCCGCAAAGATGATTACGAGATTGCAGCAACTCTCATACAAGAGGATGAGAGAGCTGGGACTGTTCAGCCTGGAGAGCTGCACAGCCTGTTCTGGGAGAAGAGGAAAGCTTATCAAGGTTCCTAAATGTCTGATGGAAGGCTGGTGTAAAGATGACAGAGCCAAACTCCTCTCACTGGTGCCCAGGAATAGGGCAAGAAGCAACGGGCATAAACTGACACAGAAAACTCCATCTGAACAAGAGATAAACACTTCTTCACTGTGAGGGTGACCAAGCACTGGAGCAGGTTGCCTGCAGAGGTTATGGAGTCTCCATCCTTGGGGATATCCAAATCCAATTGGACACGGGCCAAGGCAAACTGCTCTAGCTTACCCTGCTTGAGCAGGGTGGGAGCTGGACCAGATGATCTTCAAGGGCCCCTTCCAAACTCAATTATTCTGCAATTCTGTGTTTATTGAAAAATTCCTGTTTGTTCCACCCCCTTTGTCTGGATGAAAGAGACTAATTGGAGAAGCATAAAACTAGTATGTCCCCCTGCAACCCTCACTTTTCTCCCACTAAAGCAACACTTTAAATATAACCCACAAGATGCAAGATACTCCCAAGCAGACCAAGCACAGTCTAACAGCACAGTACGAAGTTCTACATGCTCCTTGAATCAAAGTGTCCATACTAAGATGGATCTGATGTTTCCTTATAAGAGATATTCAAAGAGATCACCACTTTTAACTGGTTTGAATAAAGATCTTTCAATCATAAAAAGGATTTTGAAGGGTGGAGATAAGCCTTATGTCAGTCCTGATGACAGTTTTCTCACAGAAGTATTTATAATTCTGAAAGAAAAGCAGGTAAGAAGAGCCCCTTAGTTCCACTAAAATTAAAGGTGTTAGATTACAGGAATTGTCCAACTTCCAGTACAGCAGATGACTGCAGCAGCCTAAATGGAAATCCAAAATATAAACAAATACACCAGCAAATGATAGCTTCCCAAATTTCACCCCCTTTACTGTCATGAAATAAAAAGGTGATTGATATTTCACTTTGAAAGTCCAACTCTATCTCCTCTTGTGAATTATCTTAAGGAAAGCATACTCATGTGGTACTAAATAACACCTTCATTTCAGCACCTGGGAATAATTGGGAGACTCAAATGCCTCAACTTGTGTTAATTTATTTGAAGAATCACTATGACTTCTAAAAGTTTGTCCTCAGAATGGCATTAAGTTTCTCTACAGTCAAGTTTACAGGAGGAGTCAATGAAAAAGAAGTAGCCACTGATATTCCAGCTAAAATTCAAAACCTTCTGTCCAGTGATAGCACTAATGTTTTTTCTCCAGAGCAACAGCTGCTTATACCAAAACACACTTAGCCATGCTTTATTTCAGACTCAACTTACCAATACATGTACAAATAGGAGACAACACTTCCTCTTGAGCTGGAGCTTGAACAGATTTGACTGCACTGTCCATGCCAGTAGAATACATGGAACCATCCACTTACAATAAAATATTCCCCTCAGCTGTATTTTGGTCATCTTCCTGTAATTGCTAAGGCTCTTATCTTGAGGACTGTGGTTGGGATTTTGGGGATGTGGCTTATTTGTCCCCACGTCACTTCTTTCTGACCTCCTTTACAAGTCTTCATGCTTTCTTTACTCATTTTGCTTTGCTTTCTTTTTTGAATCATAGAATAATAGAATGTTTAAGGTTGGAAGGGACCTCTAGAATATTACAAGTTTTATTTATACACAATTATTAGAGAAGACTTCACTGTTACTGCAACCGTTCTATCTGTCTACAAGATTGTCGAAAACAGCTCAGAAGTAAATGAGAATTTTACTTCAGGCGTACAGTGACTATGTACACTATCTTTGGTCATTCACTGATTCAGTAAGCACCAATTCTCAAGCTATAAAAGTTTCAAAATGACATGACAGCACTAATTAGGTCAGAAACACTATGTTGCATTACACACAAAATTAAAAATACAAGCCACATACAGAATCAGCTGGGTTAACAATTTCATCACTATGCCAAAATGGAAAGTTTATGATAAACTAGACATCACTGAACCATTAGACTTACAGTAAATTAGAAAAAAGAAGTCCAAATACAAATGACTACTTACCTTATTAGAGCTGCCAGCTTTAATTCCAACAGGTACTTTGCTCTAAAAAATAATAATTCATCATTCTTAATTTGTTCATAATCTTTTCTATGAGCAGTTTAAAGTCTAGAATTTAGATACCATTTCTACAGAAACCAACTTGCATTATGCAATTAGCTTACACCTTTATTTTCTCAAAACATTATATCCAGAATAGAGCTACAGCTCATAATAAATTTCAAGTTATTTGTCATACTGGTAAAAACAACTAAGACCTGACAGTATTTCAAATATATTTGTATTTTTAAAGGGAAAATAACTATTATCATCTTTTTATTTAAATTTAAGATTTCATTAGTAAATATTGTTATAATTAATCTGAACTTCATTACCTTATAATTGAGTAAAAATACAGATGAGTCATAATTTAAGCATAATTAAGCCAGTTTGCAGGAAGTGTTTATAGACTGTTATAAATGCTTATAAATCTCAAAAATTTAAATTATTACATACGACATTTACCACATGTCAAGGGAAGGCTACATTTTAACTGAAGACACAGAATTTCCAAATAGACTCAACAATGTTTGTCTTCAGTGTCTTCTAAAAAGCCAAGCTGTACATTGCATGTATGTCCTGACCAAGCAACTTGAGTGACAGCAAAGTACCAATGTTTTTAAGTTCTAATCTCAGTCATGAAGTTCCATTAAACCACATTTTGCAAAATGCTTCGTCATCCATAAAGGAACATACCTATATAAACGGATGAGTAGGAATGACTGTATAATTTAGAATCTGATGCTTCAAATGGGCAGCTAAGTTGCATTCCTTTCTACTCTCTCCCTCTTCCTCCCACCACCACGAAATGTTAGGAGTTAATATTAAAAGTTAGTATTTCCCAAATATCATACATTTCTTCCTCCCCACCCCCAATCATCTATGTACTGACCAATTATTACTAGTCCTTCTTTTTGGTCAAATCTGTAGTTAAAACATTCTGTTGTTAAGAGACTGAAACTTCTCTTACAGACTTAAGAGTGCTTTGAAATTTATTAAAAATAAACAAATAAATAAGAGAGAATTCCTCTCTCTCTGTTCCAATGCCTCGTAAGTTCCTACTGTAGATTACTGGATAGAAGACTATCCCAGGAAACAAAAAATCCCAGGCTACAAGGACCTTACTCTGACTTTGGACAGGCAAGGGACCTATTCAGTTTCTACATCTTGGAAACAAAGACAAGAATAACTACTTCTAGAAGTCACTTTCTTTTCCAGTTTTGTATTTTACAGTTGTGCTTACTGGAAAAGAATGAAAACAATAGACGTTTTATATAAGAGTGTCCTGGATTTTGAAAGGGATGGTTAAAGCTAACCACAGATGGCGATACATTTTCTCGAGTACTAACCACTATTCTGGTATTTGACTTATACTCAGTGTAACCATTTCTTCAAAGAAATTATACAGCATGACTGGAAAGGAGAAGATTTGTTCAAAAACAGGAGCAAATAGCAGAGCCTTATCTATGCAAGCCGATACTCCAAACGTTTTCAAGTGGAGTAGTATAGCAAAAAGTATCATATACCGCAAATTAGCAAACTATTTGGCCTAACAAACTTTTTCTGTTTTATATTATTTGATCCATACCTCTGGACAAGGCTCCACATGACAATCTTTGATAGAGCAATGGCCATCATCAGCCCAGAATGGGCATGGTCTCTTTAGATTGACCTGAAGATTAAAAAACACATAAAAATTTACAATTAACAGTAACTTTAAAACAGACAGTACCAAGGAATCCTTTCAAACTAAAGGAAAGGATATGAAAAAGGGGTTAGATCTAATACTTTTAATTTTTTTTAAGAATTCTCCCACTGAGTATATTAGTTGAAGCTTGTGGTAGTGGAACTGTGGCAAAGGTATCATTGAGAAAAACATATGGTATCTTAAAGCACGAACTAAATCTCAGACCATGAATATAACTGTTGAAAGCAGTAACTAAACTGTAAGACCGAGCATTGAGTCAAACATATGCAGCTATTACTCATTTGTATTTATACTGCAATAATCAAGGAAATACATTTGATGGAAGATAAAGACACTAGTGCACAAGTTCACTGATATAGTTAAGTAGTTAAATAAGTTCAGATTTCAAGCAATAAAAGCAGGATGATCATTACTACACTTCATAGCAATTCAAAGAATAATAAATATCAAAATATTAATGTCTTAGAGCTGACATAATACAAATAATGAAGAGAAACCACTTCAGAAACACTACCCACAAATCCCATGATGCTTTCTAGCCAACATTTCTATCTGTCGGCAAACGGCACAATAAAGGCAGAGAGCGCAGCATATTCTACATGGCAACAGTTGAACATTTTTCACTACATTTACTTGAATTATATATGTGAAAAGGTTAGAAAAAAGGTCAGTGAAAAAAATTGTACATTATATATAATGTAATGTATAGCTGCCAGACTATAAATACATACAGATATCAATCAGTTTGGCAACTTTCAAAACTATGATAAAGCTACTGATATTCTTTGTCTTCCTTTAGCATGGTTTGTACTGATTTCCTTCAGCTGATAAATATTATTCATGAAGATATTCATCTGAAGTTGCTACTTACCTACCTCAAAACACTCAGGATGTATCACTTCATATTTAAAACTGGCATTTGAAATGGGATATGATATTGCAGTCAAAGTCTGCAAGTTCTATAAAATGCACTGTAAAATTAAGCCTATTAACAAAGATGACACTTGGCCCTACAGCTGTTTCAACAAAGGAATTTAAGAATCATAATTATAAAAAAAATGAAAGTCTATAAATCTTAAGCCATAAACAGTACAAAAAAGCATATAGCTCAAAAAATAAACATAAAGGATCTACTTATTATAAATCAAGCTGGCAGCTTTAAATGCCAGGGTTTCAAAAGAGACCATAGGAATCACGGGGCTGCCCAAACACTACAGGTATTCTTTCAAGATGGGGAAAAATAGTGTTGGCCCTCACCCTCTTAATGCAGTTAAACAAGTTTGCTCATTAGAAAGAACCTTCGCCTTTTAAAGAGGCATATATCTATACACTAGCAACTCCTACGCTCCATTCCAGAACCTATCCAACATCCTGTTGAATCTCCAGACGTTCAAAATTCAATTTGATAAGATCCTGTGCAACCTGCTCTAGCTGACCCTGCTTTGAGGAGGGGCATGGGACTAGATGATCTGGAGAAGTCCTTCCAACATCAACTGTGACTGTATGATCTTTACTTAGTAGTTCTCCTGTATTCAAACAAAAAACTCAAAGCACTTCTAATCATCTTTTGAAAAGCCTTAAAGAAATATCATACTTCATATCATAGCAGTAATGGAAAGGAGAAGGAATCAAAGCTTAAACTCCATTTTTCCACAATACTCCTTTCTCATAACTTAGTTTTCCTCTTAAAATGAAATAGAAGTTAAAAAGTTCAATCACCTGCTTAAAAAAAGTATCATAAACCAATACAGGTCAGAACGGTTTCAGTTCAAGGGGCAGTTACAGCACCCACTAAATCTGCAGTTACAGCAGCCAGGTCCTTTACATCAGAACTTCAACATGTGGTTTTGCAGTGACTTATTCTGTTGGGTCAGATTCTCACTGTCAAGCAAATACCATATTACCCATTCATGATGTGGGTCAGACACAGGTGCACATCTGCATCACTGTGTCTAATCTACAGAACACAGTATTAGGCTTGTTTGACTGAGGAATGGAAAGATAAACACTGACCTAACAGACTTGAATCTGCCAGTGTGCTTTGAACATCTTTTACTGGCAGAGTGCATTCATACTAGATGGGCAACTTGCTTGAAGTAGCCTCTTTCTTCTCCTCCTTTTTTTTTTTTTCTTTTTCCTTTTTGATACTGTATTAGAGGCCCAATGGCTAAACTCATTGGATCATCAAAGCATAGTCTCAGAAGCTAAAAAAGAATCAAAAGATTTTTTCCAACATTCCTTCTTACATTTAGTACATTACGCACCATAGATTTGGACAAACTTGGCACCTGAGGGGTGCTGTAGTCAGATTTTACTGTCTTTCCAGCCCGTTTGCTTTGTTATGACAGCTAAGGAGAATCAAAACTATGCACCAGAAATAAACAGTATTTCAAGACTAAAGGATATATTCTTGGGGCACTATTTACCAATGTAGCACAAATAAACAAACAATAACAAAATCAAACTTCTTTAGACATTCTATGAATACCTCTAAGGAGGCACCATCATATACAACATGTTTTATGGCAACTAGTCTTCACCACTTTACTTGCATCTTTAAAATACAGAATGGGGTGTTATTTTTTTTAAAGGAGTTAGACGTATTTAGTATACCATCAGGCAGCATGTGTTTTTGCCCTAATATAAGAAATTAATTTTGTACATACATGGAATCAATATTACTCAAAAGGTGCAGGGGAGAGAATTAAGAGCAAAAGTAGAATTTGATTTACACTACTAGCTCATTATACTGAATTAATTCCTCAGACCTTTCAGCAAGCATTCTTCATTCTATTTTTTAATTTTATATATTGTGTTTTCAAAATACACATACAGCTAGGTTGGTAGGAAAGCAATGGTTTTGCACTACTGTCCACTACTAGCATTTTGAAAGACAGACTCTTCCAGGTTTCCATTTGGACACTTAATCTGCACAATCAGGAAATATAAATTCAGCTTTGAATGGTTAAGGAAGGAAGAAAATAAATAACTAAATAAGATACTCAGCAGATGGTATAACTTCTAAGAAACTACAACTATCTCCCAGTTACAGTAGAAGCCATGCTAGCACAGATTCTTTAAAGGACAAGATTTCAGGCTGCTTTCCCCTGTCCCCTGCATTAATTTTGGAAATGTCATTGCTGGAAAAAAAATGCAAAATTTCAGATTTTTTCTTCTTCCCACTTTTTAAATAAAGCACAGAAAACTGTTACATTATGCATTACCACCACTACTACAATTAGAGCTCAGAATTATATAAAGGCATGTCCTCCCACACTAATTTCTACACACACACCAGACCAACTACCATAGTTAAGGCTATAAGCTTCTTCAATCCATCCCTAACACTATAAATATTTACAAACTCTGGAATACGCAAGGGTTAAGTAACGAAGGAATCTTTCTGCTTATACAGAGAGGCACTTCTATATAAAATAATATTGCTATTTATCCAGGAAAACACCTGAATATCAAGATCTACTAGTCCCATAATCCCACAATGACTCAGCAGCACTAAAATATTGCAAGAGAAATTGATGTTATACAGTACACGTGCTTTAACTGATACACAAAACAACCTTTATTTTCTTCAGAGACCAAAGTACTAGACTTCACCATCCATAGTATTATTCATTATTCCCACAGAATAACTGTTGGATTTCTTATCACAGAACGATTGAGGTTGAAAGGAACCTCTAGCAATCATCTAGTCCAACCCCTCTACTCAAGCAGGGTCACCTAGAACACATTACACATTATCATTAGACTCCCATATTTTGTGTTTGTATAAGTGTTGTAAAAACTACATCGAGACAAAATAATTCCTTTCTTATTTCACTGAAAAAAAATAAATGCATAAAATCAGCTAGCATAAATTAAACAAGCTAGCCAGCCCGTTAAATCTTGCAGATTAAAGTTGGAGTTCTTCTATAGTTGAAATAGTAAAATGCTGGGAATAGTGCAACTTGAGCTACAGGAGTCAGTGATCCAAATTCCTGCTACAAGTTAACTTACTTCATAATAGGCATGTTTTCACTCCCCAGGTTAATGTATTTTCCCTATCTATACATTCTACATCAACTACAGGGTAGCTGACTATATATAAGCTGCATGTCCTCACAATTTCCTCATTCACCTATATGCCCTAGGATGAGTTTGCGCAGAGGTATCAAAAACTCCATTCCTTTTACAAAGAGTTTTGATAGCTTCTGCAATCCGTTTGCTTGTTCAACACATTCTCTCCTGCCACAAGTGAAAGTTTTTAATTACTGCATGCAGATGAGGAGAACTGTACAACAGCACTTGTAGCTGCATATCAATTATAAAGGTCAGTTATGGAAAAAAAAGGTTAAACGGCTGGCTAGTCTCCCAACTCTGTTGAAACACTACATTTTGTTTGCCCAGTATGGTGCCAACCAAAAGAATACACCTATCCACTGAAGAACTATCAGTAATTTGGACAGATTCCAACCAGAATATAAGTATCGCTCAAGTGTTAACCTATGCGCTCTGCAATGCATGCGAATTCTAAACACGGATGCGTGCACTAAGGTGTACGCACAGTATAGCTGGTCACACAAAAACGCTACGAAAGATGAGGTAGGAGTTTCCTACAGAGGCTATTAAAGTAGAAACTGCAGGAATATGAGGTTCTGAAATGAAAATTTTACCCTCCCTTAAAATTTAAGGATGAAAATGCTGGTGAATATTTTGTATAAAACCTTGTAACCCTGTTACTCCCCTTCCTCAAATATTTTGTTTTACATCTTCTTGGTGCCTTTGGAGAATCTAATTACCACTACTACCCGATATGTTTCCCATTGAAGATGAACATATCTTGTTTCTCCCGAACACTGAAGTTGTAACTTCACCCCTCATCTCCTTCTGATACATGATATAGTTCTATGTTACTGCTTGCTCAAACTACAAAGTGAAGATTCTAGTAGGGGTCTTTTCTTCCTCTCATAAATAACCCCATCTTCCATAAATTCTGGTACTTGCCCAATTCCAACTCAGCAAGATAATTTGTTACATTCTGAAAAACAAAAAGTTTTCTCTTAGGTTAACGAGCGACACTAGCCCACCACTGCTTAGCTAGACAAGTCCCAGAAGTAATAGTGAAGGGGCAGGATGGTCTGCCCGGAAGTGGAATATCCTCTCCTGCAGCAGAGAGCCTTGTGATCAGCCGAGTCAAAATACAACCTTTATTTCCCTTCAAGCACATCTGAAGAAAGAAGAGCAGTACCAAGCTCTAAAGTCCTATATTCCTCATCAAATTCTAATACACAGAAAAAACAATGCTTCAGATTGTTTTAGAATAGTATGTAATACTTGAAAATTAGTATCCGTACTTGTTTTTTGAAAGGAATAAAGGTTCTGTATGGAGAAAAAATAAGACCAAAACAAAGACAACAAATGATAAGAAAGGAAAAGGCAAAGTATTTCAAACACAATGCTACACACATTAGTCAGAAGACTGCATGGTATCAAAGTGTCTAACACAGTCCTTTCCCACCTGCAGAAGTACAAAGATACCACCTTTAAAATTACCACTTCTCAGCTGAATGAGAATAGTTACGATTCACTGTCACTAGCCGCAGGATTAACATAGAAAATACAGGATTTATGACCAGCAAATTGTCAGAGAATGAAAATCAGCTATGACCAAATTAGACAGCTGTTGGCTTCTAAAAGAGAACTTAATGCAAGTCAATTTCATTTTATCTGTAATCCTCTCTACATTTTCTGCATTTTATTTAAATTATACAGGGAAATACCATTCTAATTGTACCTTGTAATATCTGAAGTAATCACGCTCTTGCAGTTTCTGGATTTTTGGAAAGATCTTGAAAGTATTGAAGTCATCAATGCTTTCTATGTCGCATAAACAGTCATCTAGGACTCCTGTGAGCTATTAGGAAAATATATCAGATCGAGGTTAACATCACATTTCTTGATAAAAAAAGAAAAAACAAAAATCTTCCAGGAAAAAAAAAATCCAGATAAATACTACTGAAATGCAATTCCATTCCAAATAAGTTATTTCGTATCATTAAAATACTCTGTAACCAAAAATGACACTTTACATTCACATGATACATATCCAGAATTAGAAAATAAAAGATTGTCATATTTTCTTGAGCCTATATCCACTTCCCAGTACAACACTGAATTAGTCAGAGATCAATAGTTTCAGCCCTCTAATTTGTTCTCGGGCAGATCCAGCCTACAGAACATCCTGCAAAACAAGTGGCAAAATGTTCCAAACTACGGAGACCATGAGATTAGTGCAGACAGCTGTGCAGAGTACATCCCACCAAATGTTCATTGCCTTAGTAGCTGAATTCCCTAAAGCACAATCATTCATGGTCATCCTAGTCTTCTTCTCAAAGTTTAAGAAAAGTCCGGTTAGCTTCTTTAGAGGCATGCGAAGATGGGCTAGGTATTTTTTTCCAACACCTAGTTAACACCTTCACAATTAAATTCTACCAGGAAATATTTGGAAAACGAGCTGTAGGCACCAATATTGTAAGGCTACAGATCTATTTAAGGTGCTGTGAAACTTGAGCACCTGAGGCCCCATCCTCTCTCTTGCACCGGCACATCAGACTAGTTCAAAGCGCCACGCCATCTTAAGACGGCAGTTACCAAAACAAGTGCAGAAGAGCTACTGCCAGCACAGGAAAGGAAACAGAACTGTACAAGTGAGTGGAGATGTCGGACTCAACTTGCATCAGCTTGAGCTACTGCAAGAAGCAACCTAACAGTGTCCATGTGAAGTAGAGGGAGATTCTATAAACATTCATATGATAAATTTCATAAACATAGCTTCCTAAATAGATAGAAGCAAGTTTTAAAGGCCTTTATAACTTCAAATGCATATTACTATTTTAGTTCATGGCTAAGAAATATGGAATCAAATGCTTCTGCTAACCATGGCTTAGCTTTAGCAAGACAAGTAATTCATCAACATACAGGATGGCCTAGAAAGCATTTGAAAAGAGAGACCTGTATTTTTTATATATTGATTTGGTTAGAAGATTTCTAACTATTATAAGGTTATGTGTAAAAGAAGAAATAGTTCATGTTTGTTTTCTGTAAATCTCAAGGCTTGAGGAAGTCATGAAATTATCTGTTTTATGCATGATAAAACACTCAACTACTTTATAGCACAGATACCCTTATATAACCAAAACAATCTAATTTGATGTAAAAACATCACTCGAAACTGAATCATAGACTTCTGCTCTTTCATGAGACATAAAAGGAGCTTGAAAAATGGTTTGTTATTTAAGATATTTTTCCCCTGAGAGAATGGAGATGTGAAGGTTTAGTAACAAAGCATTTTTAGTAGAAAACTCAGCTTTTGTATACCTTGCCTTTCCTGAGAGAAATAGACTAAATAGGAGGATGTCACAGATCTGCAGATTAAATATCATGGATGGCAATGAAGTGAAACACATTTAATAAAATAACTTAACCCAAACTCTTCCATGCTATTATGCTTGCTATCTATAATGTTGTTTAACTTCAAATCTGGACAAACATCTAGGAAGGTGACTGCTCATTTAAAGGTTTTTCACAAAAGCTAAGAAAGCTCATGATCTACAGAAGGTGCCAGATTCAAAGTCAGAAGGCAAAAAGTTTCAAATTATTCTTACTTTCAAAAATATAATACTTCCAGAGTTAAAAAAAAAAAAATCCAGGAAGATTTCATGTAGAAAGTTTAAACTTTTTTTTTTAAATCAGCCATAAATAGGCAGAAATTAATTTTGTTATTTTTACACATAACACTTCAACGTATATACATACACACAAAAATATTACTTCCAACAAAAATGACAAAGATAACTATGAACAAACTGCTCAAATATTAAACTGGATAAACCATATGTGAAGAATTAACCTGAGACTAGTAAAAAATTGGACACAGAAAATAAAGAGTAGGAAATTATTTTGATGATCATCTCATGAAGCTATTCACCACTTTCAAAAACATTTTGACAATATCTATGCAAAGCTGAAATGGGAGTTCAGGGGAAAACCTTTCAAACAAATATGCCGTAGTTATAAACAGCGTCAAAGCACTGTGGAAAAATAAAAAGCTGTAGTTGCTTTATTTAACTAAGATTGTAAACCAACGAAAGCTGCACCTTATCCAGATGTTTCTCATAAAACTTAAATTCTAAGAAAATCTTTCAAAATGCACTGTAGCTTTCTCAGAAGATTATAAAAAGACAAACTCTCTCCCAAAACTAAAAGAGGTCTAAGAGATCTTAAGGAGAAAAAAATAGAGTAACAAGGGCAAAGAAAGGAATTTCCTAATTTCCCACATCTCAGCATTGGAGCAGTTAGCTTCAATAGCAAAAATGTTTCTTTTGAAAGCGTAATTATTTTTGTACCCAAGCACAATATGTAAAAGGTTTTGATAGCACATATGAAATGCCAGTTCTGAACAACAGATCAGTCAGGCTAATGTCAAGAGCAGCAGAGTTCAAGCACTGCCGTTACAGACATTTTACTATTACTGTAATACCCAGTGTATTTTCTATATGTTTACCAAAGTACTTCTATGAATTACCATATCAAGGTCAGGCCTTGTGTAGGTATCAGAGCTGCACTGGAGGTGTTAAACCTCTAACTTTTCTTCTCCAAGTTAAACCAACCTTTATTATAAAAGACCAATATCCAGCATGCATCAATTCCCCCTTATGAGAGTAAGGGGGAGGGGTTTAACTATACAGTATACAGCACTTTTAATACTGAATATCACACACACACAAAAGCACGGAATAAATACATAGATTAACAAACAATATATTTATATCAATAACCTTATTAGTGCTGTCATGTTGTTACACATTAATTGCCTCAACATATCCTCATTGGAAGGGCACCCAGGACACCTTGTTTTGTTCCTCCGTGTTTTCACTTCGCAATACTTGCAGAATGAGAGAAAAGGAATTGATACTATCACTCTGAGATATAATAGCTAACTTACATTTTTCTGTGCAAATCAGACTGCAATTTAAACAATGAACACAACATAGTAATTTTATGAAAGAGCAGCAATCAATCTCTCCCAATGTTCCCCCAAAAAATCAACATGACAGTTTGCTGACATCAGCTGATATTTGCCTATATGTATATATATTTCAACATACATACAGTATACACTTACTATACTTACATATACACACACACACACACACCCCATGGATGTCTGTTATACACTAATATATAAAAAAGGGTTTTTTGAAGAAAAAAATAGAGAACATGAAATTATAGCAAAGAGATACTGCAATAAAAGCTATCTATACTAGCCTACACACTGTCTTGGACAGTCACAGTATGGCACGTTACTATACAGAGCAGAAATATTTACATATTTTTATTTTTCCTTTTTTTTAAAAAAATATATATCAGAAGCACAAGATGGTTTGTGCCACGTGAGTGCTATTTCATATTTTCACACAAACTCACTCTAGTGCCCTCGGCCTGGCTAAAATCCTTCTCCCCTTGACACCTGCTCTTGTTACATGGAAGCGCTCGCTGCTCACGCACACGAGGCTCTCGCCTACAGAGGCTCGTCCTGCTGCAGCCAAGGGGACAACTTCCAGAAGGAAGGAGCCCCCCTACCCTTCCTGCCGCACGGGTGCACAGACACGGTCGGGGCCCACGCCACGCGCAGCTGCCCAGCCCGGGCACCAGCACCAGCAGAGGCGGCCAGCGACTTTCTGCGAACACCAAAGTTTTTGCCCTAGAGGCCAAGGGCGCGATGCGCCCCGGGCTCCCGAGTCCTCCCCGCACGGCAAGCCCTGCTTCCCGGGCTGGGCCACGCAACTCTCCCGTGCAGCCGAACCGTTATGTAAGGGCGGCACCAGCAGCAGCC